TTAGCCACAGTAAAGGCTCACTAATTGTAAGCGGGTCTCAGCTCAAGCTTTGCCATTAAGGACGACGTTAAAAATATAGCACAACTTATCAATAACTCAATGGAATTGGATGAAACTATGATGACAAAGGTCTTGCAGTCGTGCACAGCAAAATGGGCCTCATATATAATGCGGACCGCTTCAATCTGGAGCCAAAAGGGACTGGCCAGGCACAATGAGGGGTTCGGCAGAACAGGACAAGAGCACGAAAGGAAGAATCACCGGGAAACTGGAAAAGGAAGATGTGTTAAGAGTGCGGTCTAGGAGGTGTTGTGGATCACGAACAACCGCAACAGCAGGTGATTGCTACGCTTTTGCAACAGGCAAGAATGGACCCACGTCAGTCACAGGCTGCAGTTGCAAAAACATTTATCAGGATTGTAAGGCACGTAATCCCAGCTTGAACAGTGGCTACTTTACTACTTTTTTTTGGACTCCCGCTACTTCAAGAGCTCTAGTGCACTCTCATTCTGTCATGCCCTCGTGAGCACTGGAAAAGGACGAGAGCCAACGTTTGTTTCACTAAAAAGGACACGCAAGCCATCCCGTAAGTTAAAGAAAAGTTGTAGAACATGCCATAATTAATTGGGTGTGGTTCACTAGGACAGAAAGCGACTTTTCGCGTTTCGCGCGAAACATTTTTCGCTGCGGGAACCTCAGGTCCACCGCTGATCATCAGTGGACCTGAGGTTCCCGCAGCGAAAAATGTTTCGCGCTGCGAAACGCGAAAAAGTCGCTTTCTGTCCTAGTGAACCACATCCTAATTAATTTATGCACGAAACTAGGACCTGTAAAACTACTGACAATACATGTCATGAAAAAAGAAAGTGAAAGAGCGTCTGCGTGGAGAGAGCCGTTGTATAATTCGCCTTTCGGCGATTTTTCAAAGGGAATTTTTGCACCAAATTCAGTTGCTGAGAGATTGCCTAGTGCAGCTCACAATGATGAAAAACACATAAACTAATGTTATACTCTTTCTAGCTGACTCGTGGTACGTTGCTCGTCGCTGAGCATAATCCTGAAAATGCGTGTTTCATCATTTCTAAGCCTTAATTGGCTAATTTCAAGAAGAGGCGAATCCGCTCGGCCTATGTTGTGCCACGTGCTCGAAAAAATAGTGCGACAGGAAAGGTTCAGGTCCCAGGGTTCATATGTCAAACGGAAGCGCAATTCTATACTTGGATCGAATATAGCATTTATTCAATCCGTAGATGACTTTACTTTCCCTGCAGCTAAGCCCAACGGTCAGAAATACGCTGAAATTGTGAGCATCAGAACGAGCATGGTGTTCAGAAGTTATAAAAATTTACGAGGGTGAGGGAATGTGACATAGCTTGCTTGGTGGAGATAATTGATGGGAAATGAAGTGTTAGAGAATAGGAAAACCACGGTTGAAGTCGACGTGCTCAGTTTGGTCGAAAAGCCAGTCACCAAACGCAGAAGCCCCAATGCACCACATTCCTTTTGGTTCACAGTAATATGCTGCTCTGGCTGATCAACTTGTTAGGTTTCCTTTCCTTGTGCGTTTCCTGGTGTTTCTAGTAATCACTAATGGAGATCGGAAACTTAGTACCGTGAAGCTCTAACCAGCAGAGATTCGAAACAAGCCACACAGCTAGTCAAAGCGTTAACTTGTTAGTGACACGTTAAGACTGCGACGCAACCGCACTTCTTGTGCTCCTGCCATCCTTGAAAGCCACGATGCTCACATGACGATCCTGAAAGCTTGCAGCCTGTTGAGCTTTTTGGCAAGTTCGACCTTCCTGTTGCTTTCGTTTTTATTTGTTTTTGTGCAGGATTACGACCACTACGGTTTGGCCAGGCGAGCTATTTTAGAAGGTTCTCAGAAGTCTTAGACGAAATTGCACCATGAGTGACAGTAAAGAGCAATCGGAGGTTCCACAGAATGTCATACCGGTAATTTTGCTTCTATGAAAAGTTTCCGTGCTTTATTTTACATTTGGAAACCATAGTCCAACTCAATTGAATGCCGAGTGGCTTTACTGTTGTTAGGCGGCCGTGGCAAGCAGTCACATAGTAAATCTACAACCAATGCAAAAAGTGATTCAATCAACAGTTTTCAAAATCAGAGTTGTTCTCGGAACAACTTCTTGCATTCTAAGCATGTGGCGATAAAAAACCTAAAGCCAAGTGCCAAACACTTTCACCTACCATATTACACTTGACTCCCCTTCACCTTCAGGTAGCAAGTTGGAGAACCCAATATGGTTCCTAACTAACTAATACATGAATGTGTTACTAAATATAATGACACCCAATAAGGAGCAAGTGGGATTTATATAGAGTTGATATAGAGCTGCAACTTTGCCTCTTTTATAGGAACTTTCTTACTGCTCACACTCTACGTTTCTGATCATTTATGCTACATAAGTAAATCTGAAATCAGAATCGACCATTTTCAGCATCCTCAACCGATCGATTATTTTTATGGAGTTGCGATCACAGGGTACTCCCCTTATCCTTGGACAATCGTTCGAGACTTCTTCTACAAACGACTCGATGTAAGATTATATTTCTTCCTTGCAATCAACTGTAGATCTCACTAAGACATATTATTCGCCGGCACCTTCGACAAAATTCAGCCAAAGCTGGTGTCGAGGAACAACCATAAACGGAGGGCATGTCCGCAATAGAGACCGATTTGCGATCTGTGTTAAGGGAAATAAAGCACTAAAACGTGTCCAAGTAAAGTGTGACGCTGCTGTAGTTAGAAGGGGAAGGCAGTTCCGTAGGCTCACTCTCCTCCGTCCTCCTATCATCAAGTTAAACAAGACTTAATGCAAACGCCCAATCCATGCCAGATGTGAGTTGGCCGAATCACTAGTGTTAGGCGTGAACATAGCTGGTACCTTTACCGGGAACTTCGTTATGATAGGCTGCATTCTTATACGACATTCATGAGTATGTTTAGCTAGGCGAGAGGTCTTTTCACTATTCGCAGCGCGTAACGTTTTCGTTGCGGGAGCCCCGGGTTCACGTTTGATCAGCGGTAGACTTAGGGTTCCCGCGGCGATAAGTTTTGCGCTGTGAAAAACGGAAAGTCGCTTGTTGTACTTAGACAAAACACCCACAGTTGGTGGGAGATGAGTTGGGTGTGAACAGGCCTAGGAAATGAATGGATAGGCTCTCCCGTCTAAATTTTTGCGCGATTCGACGAACCTGAGTGACTCTCCTGACGACCACTCCTTTACGCCAAATAGCGGGTTTTTCAATTCTGTGTTGAATTGTGATCAACAATGATCAGCTGGTTGAAAAAAATCCTATAAACTTTAGTAAGTAAGACACTTAACAGGATTCTTCAAGTGTGCGACACTTGAATTAGTATTAGAAAATTGTTGCAAGAAGAGAAGATGCAAGTCTTGCATTATTTGAAACTGCTCCAGGACTGATATGCACTTCATGGTTTAAGTGGCAGAGTGATCGTGAAGGAATATCGATTGACATGAACGCGGGATCTCCACTGAAGATTTCTCATGATTTCATTCTGGCCAAAGCTCATGAGTTCAAAGAGCCCCCGTTCACATGGAGAAGGTATGGGAAATCGATCACAAACTTATATAATGACACTATTCAGTTCAGTTTTATGTCCACAAGCTCTTAACACGTTGATGACGCCAGTATAACGCGCAGCGCGTGCAGATTTTTTCGAGAATAAGAGGATGGTTTTGTTCAATTTTACTTGGAATTTTTATGTTATTTTATATTTCTAACAACATTTAGATCAGAGGAAATATTATTTCATCATTCGGATAACGAAATCACGGAAGAGTAGCGCTCGTTCAAGAAAAAAAAATAATTTAAAAGATGCCGAGGAGAACGCAAACTGGTGTCATCAATGTGTTCAAGTGGGGTCATAACAGAAAACCGAGTTAACCACAGAGTTAACACAGGCGGGATGGGTTTATAGTACTGTGTAGCAATTTCTTGCGTAATAATTTGAATTGGGCCACTTTTTATTTGAGAATTTGCGAGTTGATGTCGTCATGTCTCACTCAGTATACCAAAGCACACAAGTACTTTCGCGCTTTGGAAAAGGTTTTGAACGTGGTGAGCACTGTCCGTGATCATTGTCTCATAGCAGTTGGTGAACCAGTCGAAACCAAAAATCGTCGGCTATTGTAAGGAATTGGTGTCGAATTGAGCGCCATTTCTTTGAGGTAGGCGTACAGTTGCCTACGAGATTTAAGTAATAACCTTGAACTATCATAAGGTGAAGAAGGGCCGTCAGATGGATTCCTAATACGTATGATGTGGGTATCGATCCAATGTTATTTCGAGTTGAAGTAATATGTTTCAATTCATTTATGAAACATCTTTAAAGCTGATACAATCAGGGATAGCTGTTCCGTGAGACGCTAAGGACGATGTCAAGATTTGCGAACTCGGTCCGTAGAGGGGCCAAGTGAATCATCAATTTGGCTAAGGTACACGCAGCGCGATCGCCGCACTACGAGTCAGACGCGGAATCGCTTGCAGGAAGTAGACGCAGAATCGAAACGTCTGACATCGGCCAAGAGGCATTACACGGGAATTGATCCACATAAGTGCAAGATGATCCACAAGTTCAAAGTTGTGCGCGCTATCAAAGGCGGATTTTACGATGAAAATGCAGCCCACTGAAACTTAAATCAGAGATGGTCTTGATGCATGAAAGAAGAAAAAAAAAGAAAAAATGGCGTAGAACCCGAGAAGACACCCTTCGCTTGCGCGCTGGAATTTGCGGGGTGCGTGACTATACAATCGTGGCAGTAAGTAGGTCGCCGCGCGGGCCGCCGCAGCCAGCAATATCGCGGCGAATTTGCAAAGAACTCAGCATCCAAGCATTGGGGAATGTACGATCAGATCATGTTTCCCGTCATGAAACATGAAATAAGAACCACTTAAACCTTTAAAATGCAGTTTCGTTTTCGCTCGCCGTTATTACATACTTATCATATCATGCTTATGTTTGAGCCTTCCTCGCCGCTACTCTGTGTCTTGATACGCAATATTCTTTCCGATTGAACCAGATTATCACTCTCTGATAGAAATTCAGGAAACTGATTAATAAAGAAGTCAAATTAAAATCCTAAAGGACAACCTTTACACGGTACAAAGTTTGTACTGCGAGGCTTAAATCACTGCAGGGATCTTACAGTGACGCTTGCTGGCTTACTGATGTCCAGCACTCTGGTGTTATCAGTCACCTAGCCAACTTATGGGCATGGATGGATAAGAAAAGGTCCACACAGAAATCGCCGCAGCAACTGCCGCACGCGACGATTCTCGCCGCGTGAGCGGCGTGACCTCATTAGCCGACGATTGATATAGTCCGTGCGATTGATTATTGCGCTATTTACAGTGTCATCGGATGCTGCCCTCTCAAACGCTGGCAGACACACAACACACGAGCGAGAGGAGGGTAACACATAACACGCGCACGCACACACATACACACACACAACACACGCCGCGACTGTGTCACTTCAGGTCCGCTCCACTTCTCCTCCAAGGTTGCCGTCGACGTTGGACAAGAGATGAATATGTAAGAAACTGCAAATACTCTAATTCCATCTGACTGCCAAAAAACGGCAGATGATAATCAAAAAAAAAACATTTCAAAATGAATAACCGCTAAAGCTTTTAGCCTTGCGATTCACTGCCGATTTCGGTTAATCGGCTGGTCAGTTATACTTGAGAGTGCTGAGAGGCTTTAGTAAGTACAGGAGAAGGGGGTGGGGGATTCGTACAGGGTGCCACCGTTGATGTAATTTCTACGGCAAAATATTCTTGAGATGTTCCCTATAAGCAGAAGCAGGCCCTCCTTCACTGCCCCACCGTCTTCAGAATATGACGTCATCTGCCGTCACCGTCGAGCTCAAGGAGGCTTACCGTAATTGCTCCAGCCTGAAGCTGCTACATAATTTCTTGGCTCGATTAACTGATGGATGCCTTCCCAGAGTCAGTAACGTTTTAATGGAGAACTCTGTCCAACTAACATTCTGGATAAGTCGTACGGTCGGTCTACGATGCTTCGAAGGACCTAATTGAGCTCCAAGCTGCTGCACGTTCCCGTGGCTGATTCTTCTGATGTGTTCGGTGTGAGAGGCTATTGTGAAGTATTTAGTAGATAGGTATGCAAAATTGCAGCCTCTTGCCGTTTTTTGACACAACCCCTCCCCACTGGACGTTGATGGTAGCTTTGGAGCCGAAGTGGCGTGGATTGGTCTCAGAATAAACACCTAGATACATCAATGGTACTGGGTTTGGTGGATGATGAGGGTCGCACCAAGACCTCTTGAAAAGATGGCAGTCAAATTTTCATCAGCCCGACGATACGGTCACTCTGATTGTTTGACGGGTTCTGTGACCTGTTGGAGCTTGCAGGTGTCCCGCAGTTTTCTGCGTGCAAGTGGTACTTTGATGTTTTGCAGACAGCATAGATACAAATGAACATCCAGAGTGTCTTCATTTTAAAACTAGTCATGATAATATAAAAAAGTAGTTAGCATCTACTGCTGGAATAATGGGCTGAACTTCGATGTTATATAGTCACACTTGTTGGCTTGTTTTGACTGGTAAGCTTGAAAATGTTTGCTTTCTGTCGAATTCTTGCGCGATCTGATAGGAGGGTGGTATGTTCGAAGTGGTTGTTTGAGATGAGATTCATACCACTGATGCGTCTTCAGACGCTTATTCCAATCTCTTTCTATCTGCTGAACGACGCTGTGAACAAAATTATGAAGGTTTTTCGGCTTGAAGCGTCGTGACGGGCTTATGGTCACATCGGCGGATCGAGACCCACGTCAAAGGATCGAGTCCGCTGCGCATTTTTCTTTGCTTTTTCCGTAGTTCGATGACAGAATGTAAATTGCTGAATTGGTATTGAGCTGTCCCATAATTCTTGTCCGAATTTTGTACAAATTCAATTTTCTTCAACTCAAATCAGTATCATTGCGAAAGACATATGTTAGTATGTTGAAGAATGCATCAAGGCCTTTAGCAAGGTGGTTTTAGAAGTTGAAATCCGCAAGGGGATAACTAACTATGAGTCGAAATCGATCAACGACCAAAACGAACGATTATGCTTTACGTCCATTAAGGGTGTCCCCAAGAGGCCCGTCGCGCGGCGAAGGAAGAGACGCAGACGCGGCAAAGGACGAGTCGCAGCGCATACTGTAGCGGTTAGGCGTCAGGTTAAATAGAGTGTACCATACTACGTCTCATATCGCACAGCACGCGCTGCGACTCGTCCTTTGCCGCATCTGCGTCTCTTCCTTCGCCGCGCGACGGGCCTCTTGGGGGACACCCTCCATTCAAAGGCGAACACTGCAAGGAGCGGAGTGGGCACGATCAGCGTTGTATTTGACTACTACTACTGATTGGGCACTGCGGTATTGGCACAATAGGATCAGCAGAGATGATACGAGGCGCAATGTCCGACCTCATCCGTAACCTTCAGTCACTCTCGATAGGAACCCCTTCTCTTTCTGCGACTGCATAAACGAAGCCTTCCCTAGTTGACCACCAGTGGTGATGTATCATGAGTCCACCAGGATAACAACCCACGGCTCGCTTTATGGCTGCTTCACCAACATTACGCACATCTCAACGAAAATCCAAGCTCTGTCATAAGAGCATATCGCTACCGGTTCGTTGGGTTCCTCAATATGAGTTGTGAGAACCGCTTGTATGCAGGCAAGCATTGCAAAGGTGACTGTGGAATCCGAGGTTGGCAGTGCGGGAGAACGGTTCGAAACGTCTCAAAATCTCCTTCTCCAAAGGACCGCCCGAAATCACATTGCAAAGATAACTCGCCACGTTTCGAAGGGAAACTGGCTGGACCACGGTACCACATCCATCGTATAGCCCTGACATTACTCCATCGGACTATCCCCTCCACAGCGCTCCTGAAGCAGTAGCTTCAACAGAAAAACGTCATGGAATACCGTCACCCCAAACCGACCTCTGTGAATTTTTCAACCCCTAGTTCCACTAATTGTGGGAGAACTGCATCCACTCGCTCTCCAGTAAATGGGTACATATCAGTGATCATGATAGTTGTTATACATATAGTTGACCAATCGATTCTTCAGCAAAGATAAATCTCGGAGAGGAAAAAAGTGCTGAAATACAGAGAGAAATTATGGGGCAATCCAATAACCATCACCATTGTTCAACTGTAAATTGATTTTTTGATGATTTTTCCCCATAAACTTTCTAGATTTGACACTGCTGTAGTACTTCAGCATATGCGACGTACGAATGAGGCGTTTTCGACGAGAAAGTGTTCTCTTCAAGATATCAAACTATCCCTTGGAACAAACTTCTAGCCAAATCGAGGTTTTGAACCCTACATCGAAAACAAGGGGTAGCCATGAGAAGTATAGCCCGTCTAGATACTGGTGCTTGCGACGCCTACATACAGGCACCCATGGGCGAGAACATTGCCATTGAAACTCCATGTGCAGAAATAAAAGGCCCTTGTCATGTATGACACTCATTTTTAGCGTCAGGGCCATTTGACAGCAGCACCTTTTCCTTACTTTGATTACTACTTAAGATCAGCACTACACAGCCTTGGTCAAAAGTACGAAATGACGATCTCGCGTGACTGAAAATGTTCAGAGTGTAAAATGTTTAGGAGTAGTATGGTAATGCTGCGAATTTTTTATCCTTGCCATCTTACTACTGTTTATAGATTTTAGCAAAGGGGGGGAGAAGTGCAACTCGAGACGCGGTTGGAAATTTGAAGATTACCAAGGCATGGCAAGCGACGAAGCAGGATCACTTTCAATTACCACAGCGATTACTAATCATAGACGATGGCGCATCCCAGAGCAAGAGATCTTGCTGATTGAAATGGTCAAGCTTACCAAATGCTTTTGAAAATCAAAATAAATTATGTTTCACGATTTCTTGTGATCAAGATAGTATCTCCAGTCATTTTTGCATTCTTATTAACAATATAAGCCAAGGGATTCGCCAGTATACTGAAGATGTTTTTTACAAGCAACGACTCAATGAATGTGAACAGAGTAGTTCCTTCAAAGAGCATGCAGCTCCAT